TGGCACAGTCATGCTTTTCTTTGCGGAGTTGTATATACCGAACATGACAACACACACACACACACACACACACACACACACACACACACACACACACACACCCCTACACACATTCACACGCCAGAACATACACAATGTACAGACATACACATTCACCCGACATGATGTACTGGATCAAATGGTCGTGGCATATAAGCGGATCACACTGCACAAAATGGTGAAATGGGAGAAACAAGGGAAATACAGTTATGCGTACTCAAAAGGACCTGGCAAGAAGGTGGCAAAATTGTCAGGATATTCAACAAATGCAGGAGGACAATCCAAAAGATGCTGGTACAACCTTTGATTGTTGTTGTGCTAACAAACAAACGGGCAATTGTGATGAAAGCCTGAAACGGACCGTTAATTAAAGATCACACTGAAAACAATCAACTTGATGAGAAAAACACAGGCCCAAGATGTGAAAGACCTGTCTCTCACTCACCCACATATCAAATGGGCACCACTGCCGCAGCAGATTGGCTGGAACGTGCGATATCGGAAAAATGGAAACTCCAGAATCTCATTACAGTTCACAACTACCTGGAAAGAGAAAAGGATATTATGGGAAAGCAAATGGAAAGTGGAGATGGGGAAAGATGAAAGCTCAAGAAATAGTCTGAAATACCAGATATAGCAAATTTTAAGATATCACATGTGCTCTTTTTACTTTCACATGGGAGAATGCTCTCCCAAACCACTGGAGTGCAAATGGGACATTTTTGGATTTTGAGCGTCCTGCCTGATTAGACTATTCCTAAAAATTCTGTTGTTACGACTATTCCTTAGAATGATGTCATTTACAGCAAAAACCCAAAAAAAAAAAAAAAAAAAGTGTGTGCTTCAGGCTTCAAGTCAATAGGGTGCCTCTACGATCCAGATCCGGAGTATGCCCTCTCCACTCTGTGAAACATGGTCCTTGATTTTTTTTTCAGGACTTGTCCTTAAGAGCGTTTTCACTTCTTTTTTAACGACTCAATTTTTATGAATAGTCTAACGACACCACATTCCTAAAAATCGCGTTTCTAACGAGGGTCTAACGAGACCTGAAGACACGTGGAAGAATTCACTGGGACCACGAGTGAGTGTATGCTCTTACCATCACTCCTATCTGTTGATGCAGGCAGAATTAAAAAAAAAAAAAAAAGAAAAAAAAAAAGAAAAGAAAAGAAAAGAAAAGATTTAACCACCAGTACCTCGCCCAGCCATTTTTTCCCACGCGGCCATTATCGTGCCACAACGGTTTCGCTGGAGTAAAGGGCCGGTCGCAGCTGAAACTGGTGAAAAACAGGAAAAGAAAAAAAAAACAAAAAAATAAATCCTTTTGGAATTCGCAGATGTCGGGGAAGGTGCTTGTGGAGGCCGTGCTGACTTCCTTTCTTTGCAGATTGCATCTCACAGCTATAATGGTGAGATTCAGATTGTTGTTTGTTTCTTTTGTTACTTTTTTTCTCTTTTCTTCCATACTTGCGGCGCACCGACCCTGTGCGCTGCGCGCTGTGCGGTGCGCTGACCCGAGACGCGCGCCGTGCACCCAGGTGCGCAGTGTGCAGTGCGCTGCGCGCTAGCGGGGCGCAGGTGCGCCGGGTGCGCACACCATTTTTTTTTGTTTTTTTTTACTGTTTCTGTTTTTTTTTTTATTTTAGGGAGAGAGAGAGAGAGAGAGAGAGAGAGAGA